TCCGATCTAGAAGTTCTACATATACACAGCAATCGGCTGTAATTTGCACTCTGTTATTATCTTTTCTTTTTAGCTTTTAATTCTTTTCTTATATGAAGTTAGAACTAAATAGTCAATTTAATTAGAGTTAATCTCATTGGTACCCTCTCAATTTGAGCTCATTTGCACTTTGCCTTCTAAACTGAAAACTCCCACTTTGCTCTCTGTTTTGTTTTATCTCCTTTAAGCCCTTTTCATGTAAGAATTTTTGTTAAAATAAGACCAGTAAAAAAAATGATTAAGTGTAGTCACGTGATTTTTATTGATTTACAATTAATAGATATTCAAACAGAAAAATCACATGACTGACTGTTTTTTTTTATTTGTTTTGAACATAAATTCAGGAACTTGTAACAATTCAAAATTCAGAATGCAAACTAAGAGTTTTTAAAATTTAAGAGATAAACTGAGAATGACCTCTTAATTCAAGAAGCACCACTAATGATAACCCATTTAATTTTGTTTCATTTAATGATATACATTTTTGCAAACTGTAGGGAACTACAACGTCACACTCTCCAGTGAATTTGACCATGAAAGACATAAGAGCGATTCTCATCCAGAAGTACAAGAGTTCTGTGTACGCAACACTTGCAAGAAACAAGATCGAGCAAATTAAATTCACGGTACCGTTGAGATCAGTAGTTCTATTTGTTAAGTGTTATAGTAAAATCTCGATAAATGAATGTTTGATAAATTAATAATCTTACTTAAATAATAAAATCTTCTGATTCTGACTTGAACAAATGTACTAAGTTAATAATCTCACTAAATGCATCAAGTAATAATTTTTTTGAATTATTTAGGCCCAATGAAAATATAAATTAGGAATTAATCAAATACAAATATTTGTAGTAATAATAATAATAAATTACATATAAAACTCATCATATTAAGGATTTTTTGTTCTGATAGGCGTTAAATTTGAAAAATATGTATGTCTTTGTATGTACTTATTAACATTCTAGGCATAATATACTTACATTAATTTTTAGGCTTCTAATTGCATGTATATGACATTTATTATATACCTACTAACTTTTGAAATTATATATTTAACATATAAATTTTGAATTTGACTACGTCCACTATTTTTTATTTATTTATAACTCATACATAAATTTTGGTCAAGAAATAATACACCTACCAAGATGGCCCAAGTTATTAAAACATAAAAATATTCTTAAAATAATAAATATTCATTTTTCAATAAATTAATACCCTGTTAAAATAATATGTTTTCTTAATCCCAACAATATTAATATTTTATAGAGGTTTTACTGTAGTATTACTTGGCGCTAGTGATGGCTTCATATATAATTAAATTAAAATCATCACATGTTTACATTTTGAAAGCATAAAGAAAAATTGTAAGCATGAATAATGACAACCGATAATCATCACAACTAATAGAATGCATGTTGCCGGATTTGGATTCCCTATCCAATTTGCCTGTATCAAACCCAATAACTAATCAATTAAAACATGTTATTACAAGGTACATTGCTTTTTAAATAATATTATATAAATATGGTGGAGTTTTCAATAGTAATATTTAAAAATTGTGATCAACCCAAAAGATTACCGTATTTTCATGTGGCCATGTTTGACAACTTATATTGTCTTGTGTTGTATAAAGTGTATTATATTGTGTTTGATAATCATGACCTGTTATATAACAGGTCAAAATGTAAATTTTAAAATTTATTATTGTTAAAATGTAAATTTGTTAAAATACAAAATTTCAAAAAATTTAATGTCAAATTTTAATTTTTAAAAAATGTAGGGTCATGTAATTTAAAAAAAATTTGGGGTCAAAATATAATTTTTAAAAATTTAAGTTTGCATTGTGCCCCTCAATTTGTAAACAATTATGAGCTCAGACATGACCCTATGTCGGTATATGACCCTGAACCCTAATCATGTCTAACTCCGACATGGATCATAAATTCACTGTAAAATAATATAATACAATGCACCCAAAAGAAACCGTATTCATAAAATGTATTAATTTACCATTCATATTAATTTCTACATTAATACAATGACCACACCAAATATTGTATTAGTATATTATTGTATTAGTATATTATTGTAAGATACGGTTTTCTATGCCCTATATAGATTGCAAACTTTTAATGATAGTCCATACTATATATTAAGAGTGACATTGGCTTAAATATGATTTTGACACATATTCTTAATTTTTAGGAAGAAGAGATTCGCCTATCAAAAAAGAGCAATGCGAGCTGGTTGAAGCAAGTTTACACATTAACAGATCGTTCTTTTGTGAACATGAAAAGAGACGTATCATATTACTGGATAAGAATTCTATTCTACCTCGGCGTAGGAGTCACTACAGGAAGCATCTACTTCGAAATCGACACGTCTTATGTGGCCATCATTGCAAGAGCCAAATGCCAAGCCTTTGTGTACGGCTTCATGCTTTGCGCATCCATCGGAGGCTTACCTTCTATCATCGAGGAACTCAAGGTAATATAATAAGGAAATTTTAACTTCATTTTTAATCAACATGCATGAACATAACGTTTGAAAATCTTCCCTAATCGTACAAAGTTTCACTTTTTATCTATTGCATAAATGTATTATGGTATGGGGTAAGAATAATATTTACTTGTCATCAATAGATCGATTTTGTTGAAACCGTGATCAGATAATTCAGATCTGTATTAGATTATGTGATTTATATAAATTTTTTATTTTAGTGTAATTTTAACCATATTTAACATTTAGAAACATAGATAGCTATAGAATTTTTACATGTCCCTTATATATGTGAGGAGAATTCAATGGTAGATTAAGAAAAA